ACCTTTATTTAACCAGGAAGTCCCATTGAGATTCGGAATCTCTTTTTCAAGAGAGACCTGGCCAAGGTAGCAGCCAAACCACAAAAAAATCATACATATTACATTTTACATAATAAAATCAGAGCAAAATGTTAAAACACATTGAGCATCTCAAGAAAGACAAGCACATATCTCCATCACTACATTCTTCATGGTTGCTTTAAATTCATTAATGGACACTAGAGTTTTTAGTTTGAGCTTTTTCTGGAGGTTATTCCAACCCCAAAGTGCAGAGTATAGGAGAATGATGCAGTTTTTCCCAACTCAGTTGACGCATTAAAAAGTAAAAACTGATAACTACCAGAACTCACAGAGAGGAGGTTACAGTTTGTAGAAATACTCCTAGAAAACGTCAACCTCTCTTCAGTTAGATTCATTCATACTGATTTTACTTATTTAACTTTTGCTTAGATGCACGTTTTTTAATTTTTTATTTGGTTTTGGAAAGGAGAAGCTACACAGGGAAAAATAAGCTTGACAAGTTTTGGAAAATCTGGAAGATTTCCTGTAATTTCCTTGAAAAAAGTAGATGTAAGGAGTTAAACTGAAGATTATTATTTATCTATCTCGTTTTAGCTTGATTTAGTATTCGTATTTGTGCCTTCCCCGCACGCTGAGCAAGGCACAGGCACCCGGATTAAAACCCACAACCGCACGCAAACGGCCGGAAAACCTCCGTTTTTTTCCTGGTTTGTAGAAAATACTCCTGGAAAACTCTTAAACGTCTTTTCAGTTACATTCATTCATATTTATTTCACAGCTTAGATGCACAATTTCTTATTTTTTTATTTGGTTTTGGAAAAGAAAAGCTACACTTGGAAAAATAAGCTTGACAAGTTTTGGAAAATCTGGAAGATTTTCTGTAATTTCCTTTAAAAAAGTAGATGTAATGAGTTAAACTGAAGACTATTATTTATTTATCTCATTTTAGCTTGATTTAGTATACGTATTTGGATATTGTTTTGAGGTCTAAAGTGCTTTTTTTCCTTTCTTCATTATCATAATTATTTCTATTACTATTATTGCCATTGTTTTCTTGTTTGTGCCTCTTTGTTCTTTGTTGTTCACAGTCTGTAAATTGACAAAATGTGCAATAAACTTTGTTTAAAAAAAAAAAAAGATGGTGGGTAAAGAATTTTTAACAGAGATCATTAAAAAAAAAACATTTACTGTGCAGCTTTTAGAGGTGATTTAGAGAAAAATAGAAACAGGAAGTCGTTAAATTGTTAAATGTTAAATTTTTAGACAAAATTTGCTACTTTAAAAGACCTGTTTGGCTTCTTTTGGCTTAATTGAAGGGTTTGGGTTTATTTTTTAGGCAAAAGTTGTAACTTTAGAGGACAATAAATAAAATAAATACAATTCTGATTCTAGTTCTGAAGTGTAAGGAGTTATGGGGTTTTTTTTGGGGGGGTTGTCGCTTCCCTCCTTTTTGTTGGTTATTTTAGTGTCCGTGCACTAATGTTTATCCTTTATATGACCATTCTCATCCTTTTTCTTGTTCTGTTTCTTCTCAGTATTCGTTCTCATCTCCAGTTTGAGTTTGCTTTGTTCATCTGAGGTCAGCTTGTGGTTCTTCTTCTCTGGTTAATACTCGGTTTTACTTTCAGTTTCCTGTCTTTTCTTTGTGGTTTTGTCTGTTTAATCATCCACTTTCTTAGTTTTTTGGCCCCTTTTTCCCTCAGTTACTCTGGTTTTCACCTGGTTCACCTTTTCCCTTCCTTTATTCTCACCCCCCTTTTCAGCTTTTTGCTCCTTTTTCTTATAGTTTCTATTATTTTGCTTTGTATTTCTAATGTTTAGTTGAGTTTTTTTATCTGTCTCTGATGCATTTTACATAAATAAATCAGAGTTTTCTGGATTCCTGGCTGCTGTGTTTGGGTCCTCCAGCAGATTTATGGCACACAACACAAACATTTTAAGGTTTTATTGTTTTTTTATGCTTTTAAAACTGAAACTCGTGCCTGGCTGTTGCTTTTCTGCCTCTGTGGACTGGGACCACTTCCTTCCACCAGCTTCTGTCTGCCGGGCCTTTTTAGGTCACCACACAGGCTGCTCATCAACCCGGAAATCCAACTCGCTCAGCAAAAAGAATACAAAATAAGTCTGGAAACAGTTTGGGAACTCCTTCCGGCTCATCCGGAAATGAATCATATTAACCCTATAATGCCAAATGTCTCATATTTGGTACCAATATTCTTGCTATTTTTCTTGGATCAGGCTTTAAAGGGTTAAAGCTGTTTTTTGGGGCTTTTAAAGCTTTTTTTGTGCTTTTAAAACTGTTTTTTGGGGGGCTTTTAAAGCTATTTTGGGGGACTTAACCCTATAAAGCCATATGTGTCATATTTGGTACCAATATTCTTCCTATTCTTCTTGGATCAGGCTTTAAAGGGTTAAAGCTGTT